CACTGCTGAGGGGAGCAGCGGGCGGGTCAGGAGAGGTCTGCCACACCATGTGGTCACCTCCCGGGCAGGTGGGAATCAAACTCATGCGGAAGCGGCTTTAGCTTTTCAGTGCTGTGCTTTAACTGCTTTAACCCGCTGCGCCACCAGGGAGGGCCAGGTCTATTTTTTTTTTTTTTTTTTAATCATCCTTATCCAGGAATGTCCTACTGCCCTTAGTCCTGGGGTGTTTGATGAGTCCCCTTTGGAATTTGTTTCCCTTATCTCTGGAGCCTGCTGATTCCTGAGGCTTTTCCTATTTTACTCTTCCCCTAAGGACTCTGTTGCCCTAGGCAAGCAGAAGCACACAGAACTCAAGCAAAAGAGGGTTTTATCTCTAGGCCAAGATAGTTTATGCTCCCTGAACTGGGGAGACCCAGGATTTATTCTGAGGAAATACTAAGGAAAGGGCAACATTAAAGAAATGGCATTGGCAAAATTCAGAGAAATAAGCAGGGGAGAAGGAATGGCAGGAACAGCATTAGTTCACTCATTCACACCATTTTTTCTTCCAAGATGGGTCCTGACCAGAGAGCTTTGTCATGGTGCCGGTCAGCATGCTTTTACTATGATTTCTGGTTGGGGCTTAACCCTGTCTTACTTCCACCTCTTTCTTGGGCTCTGCCCAAGAAATCTACAAAGAATTAAACAGAGCAAGGTCTAGAAACTTCTACTTGGTGAAAAAAAAAAGAGAGAAAGAGAAGAACAAGAAGTAGGCCAGGGAAAAACAGAGCAAGAAAAGAATACTGATTGCATCTGAATACTGTTTCCATCTGAAGGTCGCTGGTGTGTGTGTGAATTCAAACCCAAGCCTCTTCCTTGGTGGTCTAGGGGAGTAGTTACAATAACAGACTGCCCCTTCAGTCCTTTCCTGAGTTGAAAACTATCTCTACTATGTAATAAAAAGCTGTGTGATGTTTTACAAGTTACTTGCTCTGTTAGGTTCAGTTTCTTTATCTGTAAAATGAGGATAATAAAGATCTTCAAAGGGGACCCACTGTGTGAACACACGCTCCCTACCCCCAAACTTACAGAGGTGTGTCTCACTCTGATCGGCAGATTCCGCTGTCTGAAGTGCCTCAACTTTGACATCTGCCAGGCCTGTTTCTTAGCTGGTCTTAACAGCGAGTCCCACCAGAAGTCTCACCCCGTGATTGAGCACCGTGTCCAGGTACCACCGGAAACAAAGCACCAAATGGCACAGGAGTCAGATCAGTACAGACTACAGCAGTTTTAAAACTTTCCCTCCAGTAAAACTACAGATTCCACTCCTCTACATTTCAGCATTTAAGACGAAGGGAGTGGTAACCTCAACTATCTCTCCATATGCTACAGGGCAAGAAGAGGGGCACCCCAGGACCCCCAAACCTGCCCTCTCTATATAGGTTTTGTCATTCACCACATCAGGAGGTAACATACTCTAGTGCATAAGACCTTTAATGGGAAAGATCATTAATACAATTAGTATATAATACAGAAAAGACAGAGAATACAGTTTCCAAATCAAGCACGTAAAGCACGTAAAGTTACATCCCCTCATAGGTAAATGTCTAGCCAAACAGCCTTGGCCCAAAACAGGGCCATGGAGGCCTGCAAGCCCACCAAGACTTCACAGCTGCCTTTCAAAAATAATTTTTTTTTAATTTTAACCATTTACCATCTTACCATTATGTAAGATTCAGGCAAGGATTACTAAGAACTAACGTGTATACATTACAGGGGGGATCCCCAGGAAAAGGGGAGGTTCCAGTTTCCCTGTCCCACCCAAGGGAGAATGGAGCTGAGCAGGGAGAAGAAGTTGGAGAGGAGACTGGAGAAGGACAGAGAGGAGGGAGAGCAGGAGACTGGAGGGGCATGTGGAGCAGAGAGGCGTGAAGAAACTCTGCTTGCCTTTGGTCCTGGCCTGGGTGGAAATGTGCGGGAGAGCCGTGGGGAAGATGACAGCTTTGCTTTTGCTCTTTTCTTCCCAGACCTGCTGGACCTTTTGCCCCTTTCCTATGGGTCCCCACCAGGAGGTGTTTCAGACATGTGGCAGGTGTTTGGGCCTCAGTGGTGTGGGCCAGCTCTGTCTCTCTGGGCATTTCTCATGAGGGGATGGGTAACTTCCGGTGTTCCATTTGGAAACCGTATTCTCCCCTTTTCTGTATTGCACACTAATTAAATTCCTTTCTATTGAAAGTCTTATATGTTTTGTCTTGACATATCAGATGGCAGAACCTATTTAGAACAGGCAGGTTTAGGGGTCCTGGGGTGCCCCCCCCTGCTCTGTAACATATATAGCACATTAACTTCACTGCTTGACATCTGATTCTATCCAATATCACGACATTGTCCCCTTTATCCCCGCCTTTCCCTTCCCTCCTGGTAATTGCTAATTGGCCTTATAGCTCCAACATTTGTTTTATTAGTTTGTTTCCTCTGTATTCGACCCGTGATTGAAATCATGGGATGTTTGTCTTTCTCTGCCTGGCTTATCTCCAAATTTTTTTTTTTAATTATACTCAACTAGAGAATTCAGTTCTTTGTAAGAAGAAATAAAAATAGGATAGTAGCTTTTAATCAAAAACATTTTAATTTTCCGAGAAAGACCTTGAGCCTATAAATCAGTTTCTCGGTTGGTGCCGGCATCACTCCCAAATAACACTAGAGAAGGATGTTGATTAATTAACTTTACCCAGGACAGTTTCCCCTCATGAGTGACCCAAATGACCAAGTACCTGGGTCTTGCCAAATAATTCTCCAGGAGCATTACTTAATGAAACTTTATTAACCCACACCCTCAGGCTCACTGACTTATCCACTTCCTGTTTCTTAAAATCCTGGGGAGAAATAGCGTTTATTGGTGTTACACTGGCACCATGTGGTCGCTGTGTTATTGCACTTTAGAGTCTGAAGCTCTTACAGCACCATCTCATTTCTCCTTTGTTCCTTGGGAGAGATACTTCGTGGCAGGTTGATGGGTGGACCGTCAGTGGCCTGTGAACCCAGAGCAGTTACTTTGGATTACAAGCCTTCGAGGGTCATTCATTCCAGAAAACCCCAGGTGGTCATCCCCCACACACACAGGAATCCACACTCCCATTATGCATAACCTTCGTCCTCTATCACCCCCATTTCCAGCTTCAGAATTCCACTTTGCTGGACGGCTCTACAGAAGAGGAGCTAGTGCAGGAGTTGGGGTGTTCATGTGGAAATTATGCCAGGTGCATGTGTATAGTGAAAAGCAAAATTCAGGTAGTAAGATGATTTCTCTGCGGACATAAAAGTAGGTGAAGTAACACCAAAGAGCTTCTTGGTGGCCAGACCTCCCAAGTAAGAAAGAAGGCTGTTTTTGACCCTTTTCAATGTTCCGGTCCAGCAGATGTCAGCAAAGGAGAACACTAAACAACTCCTCAGGTCCCTCAGAAACAACCTGCTCCAAAGACGCTGTAGGAGAGAAGCCGCGAGAAAGAACTGGCTGCCCGGCTCAGTGAACGCAAAGGGCGTAGTTAAACCCGCACCTGCCGCGTGAGTGTCTGGGGGTCGGGTGAGGTAGGGGGTGGCTTGGAGGCTGGGGTGGCATCTTAGGAACTGAGTTAGCAGCCCCCACCATACCCCCCTGGACACAGGCAGCAGCTGACACATGGCTGAAGTGCCTGGAGAGGCTGGGGCTGGCAGCGGGGATGCAACGGGTAAGCTGCTTTTCCCCTCTACAAATAACCTTCATTTTAAAGTAAAATGGAGGCCAAAATACCTTTAAATAATTAATGCACCCTATTACCTTGCCGTTCATCACTAACATATATAGTTCAAATTTAAAAATAAAAACAAAGATACATTTGTTTTCAAGTCAGCTATTGCCTCTTTCCCAAGCAGTGTCATAAAAACATGTCAGTCATCTATTTGTATTGAGTACTTGGGGTCTTGTCTGAATTCCTACATTCTCATAGTTGTAATGCAAACGTCCATACTCTTACATTTCTTTGGGCCACTGAAGACACACTGATCTTTTAAATATACATTCAAGAAGTATTCCTTGCTTGTGTATTTTCCCCAAACTCCCATGTCTTAAATCCTTCCACTATCTTCCCACGGTCTTAAAACTAAAAAGTAAGTGTAAGAGGACTTAGAGAAGTCCTGCACACCTGAGTCGCCTGGGTAGCCCCTCTAGTTTCAGTCCCCCCCCCATTCTGCGCATCACCTCTGAGGCCCCCTCCACCAATATGACTAAGCCAGAAATTCCCGCTAAGACGCCAACTTTCAAAGACCCTACGCTCTAGACCACCTCCTGTCTGCATGGCTCGACACCTCAGTTCCTAACGACACACACAGTCACTCAGGTGGCATCTCACCCAAGGAGCCTTTCCTGAGCAACTATTGATGTATCAGCTCCAGCCCCTCTCTGACACTTCCAGCCCTCGTTTCAACTTGCTTCAAGGCACTTTGTCAGGATCTCACTATTCTATCTATCCTATGTTAGACTTGTCTTGCTGTAATGGAAGCTCCATGAGGGGAGGAAACTTTTTATTGTTTCCAGTTGTATTTCCAGCACCTCTAAAATTGTCTACATACAATAAATACTCAATAAATGTTTGTTGGTTGACTGGTGGGCTGGCAAAAAAATAATGTGGATGGATGCATGATAAAGGGGAGAGTGGATGAAAGGGTGATGAGCTACTTTAGATGGAGTCTGGAAGACCATCCCAAGGAGTAACAGCACTGTTTAAAGAAGGTAGTGAAGTATGAGCCTAAAAGGGCAGAGACACAGAAACCTTGTCCTCAGCAGGTGGGGGTGTGGCCTTGGGGAAGACACTTCATGATTCTGTGATTCATTTTCTTTACCTGACAAGAGGGAAAACCAGTCTCTCCCACTCCCAGCGAAGTACTGGTAGAGATAAGATGAGGAAAGGCCGTAGGGAGCACATAGCACATACAAAGCTAAAGCCCTTTTTAAAGGCCTGTGTGTCATAGTCTGTCCCTCTGAGTACGATATGATTGCTCCCCAAAGTGATTTTCTTATGTAATAATTTTCAGTTTAACTGAGATGATGATGAGCTCAGAAATTCTGATTCATGGCTGAACTAGGAGAAATGAGTATGGCATATTTCCATTTATAACATAATAGGTGAAAATAATATATATATTAATAATATATATATTAAAAATTATATATATATATATCTCCTTGGCATCTATTAAGTTGGCAGTAGTACTATCTTCTATAAGATTAATGATTATTGCCAAGTGGTGAGATGAATTTATTATTGAGACTACTTTAAAATTTTATGCCAATTGTACTTCAATAAAAATGTAATTGAAAGCTAGATGCCAAATATTATCACTGCTATTAAATAATTTGTAAAGTTCTTGCAAATCTAATAAATTCATTGGTTTAGCAAGCTTTCTCTGTAGTAATAAACCTTCTGTCTTTTTATAAAATTTATTTACTTTATATGTAACAGTTTATTCTGAGAAATATTTTCATTTTTAAACAAAAACTAATTAAAAACATACATATCCCTATATTCATTACAACCTGAAATAGCCAAGATATGTAAACAACCTAAGTGTTCACTGATGGATGAATGAAAAAAGATGTGATGTGTGTTTGTGTGTGTATACAATAGAGTATTACTCAGTCATAATAAAGAATGAAATCATTCCATTTGCGAGAACATGGATAGATGGACCTTCAAGGTATTATGCTAAGTGAGGCGAGTCAGACAGACGAAAATAATACCATGAGTTTACTTATATGTGAAATCGAAAAAGCAAATAAACAAAGCAAAACTCATAGATAACCGAAAACTGGGCCAGTGCCAAGGGAGATTATGGGTAAAAGAGATTAAGAGACAAACTATCAGTTTTAAAATAAATAAATCATGAAAATGTAATGTACAGTATGATGATGATATTCAATTATATTGTAATATAAATCTGAAAACAGCTACAGAAGTAAATTTTTAAGCTTTTATCACACACACAAAAATTTGTAGCTTTATATGGTGTCAGATGGTAACTAAAACGCTTTGTTACATATACAAATGTATAATCATGATGTTGTACACTTGAGACTTTTAAAATTGTATGTCAGTTATACATCAATAAAAATGTAACGGAAAGCTACATGCCAAATATTATCACTGCTATTAAATCATTTGGAAAGTTCTTGCAAATATAGTAAAAAAAAAAAAAATTAACAGTGCAAAAGGACAAAGTTCCTTACATTTGTACCGAAGATGATTTTGAACTCCCAAGAAACTCCAGATAACTAGCAAAAACTACTAGGGAAAAATGCACACGCACAAATTAATAGTTCTGAACTATACTAGTAATAGCCAGATATAAATTTTATAAAATGTCCATTTATAATACCTGTAAGAATTATTTTGAAAAGAAACTGGGGGTTTGGGGGAGTCTAACAAAAAGACACAAAACACATACAAGAAAAATTTAACAATTCGTTGAATACAGAGAACAGCTCAAGGAAAGGAGAAACAAGTGAAAATCCTGAGAGATTGGCCTAAGAGTGTACATGCTCCAGGACTTAATAATTGTTCCTCACTATTTACAGATTCCAGACGTGTGAACCCTCCTACTTTTGAAAATTGACTTGGTGCTCTCAGCCAGTACTCAGGCACTTACAGCCAAGCAGAGAGCAGCAAAACCATTAAGATGGTCGGTGCACACCTGCGGTCTCACCGTCACATGCTGCCCTGTTGTTTCATCTTGTAAACACACATTACATTCTCTTTTGTGCCTTTTTTTTTTTTTTACATATTTAGTGGGTTTTGCTGGTGAAGACAAAAATGTCTGGCTTCATTAAGCTTTCACTCTAGTGGAGGGACTCGACAATGAAAATAGGTAGATAAGTGGGCTATGTAATATATTAGAAACTTTATGCTCTAAAATTTAAAAAAAAAAAAAAAAAGCAAGCCAGGAAAAGGAAACAAGACACAAGGGAGAGTTGGCAGCAAATTTAAATAGGGAAGTCAGAATGGATCTCAGTGAGAGGTAGCTTTAGGGAGGCGAGAGTAAATCATACAAGAACCTGAGGAAAATAAACTGCCAGTTGAGGCGCAGCCTCTTCAAAGCGCAGGTGTTCGCAGTAGGTCTAAAGAGCAGTGAGGAGGCTGAGGCAGCTGAACAGGATGAAGGAGGTGACGCTGAGAAGGGCCTAGGGCTGGTTCTTTAGCTGGCGATAGTGAGGGGAAGGGAGCAGACGCTCAGTTACATCAGTAGTCTCCTAGATTTCTTCTGATGTTGCTATTCTGAATGTTTAAATTTTCAATCCATTTGAAATTTTTTCTAACAAGAGTATAGCTTTGCGTTCTTTCAGATGGGTAACCAACTATGTGATCTTTTGCCCTACAAAATTAAAATAACATCTTGGCCACCTATTAGGTTTCCTCACATACTTGCGTTAATTAACAGAATAGATATTCTCACCCTCACGTCTTCACATCTTTTCCTAAGCTTTATGGTCATGATGGCACCATCGTAAAACATCAAGTTATTTGAAATGCAGCAGTTATAGTTAGAGTAGTTTAATGGGGGAAGTCAGTTTTGCTTGGGACTTGTTAGGGTTGACATATCTTAGACATACACATAGCAAAGTCAAGGTATGAAAATGATCTCTGATAGGGTAGGGTATAACAAAAAAGTTATGGGTTACCCTATTTTTCTACCTCCAAAATGCCCAACACTTAAACATATATTTAAGTCTGCCCCCAAACAATGGCTTCTTCCCCTCTTCTCTCACTGCATTCTCTAGCCAAAATCCCATTCTGTCAGAAAGGACCATCTTGGTCTCTGTGACCAAGGTGTTCTCTGCTTTAAAAAAATAACTTTTTTTTTTTCTCTGCAGTAATCCAAGATGGCAGGATGTTAAAAATAGGTTTTGAGTAAAGGCATAAAATGAAATGAAACTGTCAAGCAGAGTTATATCTGACCTTTGTTCCAGTCTATGTTCTTTCAGATATTATATAATAGACTCCTGCAACTAGAATCCCCAGTAGCTGACCTGGACAAGATGACCTGGAGAATTTCCTGCCGTCGTTCTGAATTTCTTTTGCATTATCATTTTTTGATTGTCAAAAAGCGGGGAGTATAATTTTCATTCTTATCATTGGCAAGTTGGCTCTAAGTCAAATAAATAGTTGGAAAAAAGCACAAAGGAAAGCTGGATGGCTTTATTGCTATTTTGTATATTGAGCTTAGTATCTGATTTAACATTTTCTAAAAAGAATTTCTTCATTGTCACATTTGGTTGTTACAAATTATGACAACCTCTTATAAGAAGCTTCCATTCTATAACAGTCTCTCCATTCAACACAATAGCTCTAAATTACCAATGTATGGAAGTCCAACTGGGCCAGCAGCCACAGAGGATGCCAAACAAAGAGTTCAAAGGATATCTCAGGCTCACCAAGTCAAGGACGGCCGCCCACATCATCTGGTGAGTCCAAAGGGAAATCGTTAATATACAATTAATCTGGATAATCGTGTAGTGGTGCAGTGTGATTCAGGGAAGAGCTACTCTGCTCTTTGTTTCTAATTAAAGAAGGAAAGCCGGGCTCTCCCTGGTGGTGCAATGGTTTAAAGCACCACACTATGAAGCTCTCTGAAGCCACTGTGGCTTGAGCTCGATCCCCTCCTAGAGAGCTGACCCACACGACGACGCAGCTGAGGTCTCCTGATACTGCTGCTCCCCTCAGCGTGTACTTTGTCAATCTGCCTGTTCTGCTCCCCACTCTGTCTCTGGTGAATCTTCTCACTGCCCCTGCACTTCTGACCTGTTCCCCAGTTCTGTAAGCATAAATAAATAAATCTTAAAATAAAAAAAGAAGGAAAGCCATTTAAACAAGGCAGATATTTTTTTCACTTTAACATTTATTTGTTCCAAAGGAAGAAATTTAAAGGAAACCTTGCTGCTTGGTTTGTCTCCTCTTTCTTTTACTTTTCTTTTTCCCCTTATCACCTTTTCATTTCTGAAATTTCTCAGTTTATCTTATCTCTCTACTGTATTTCTTTCTTTGATTAAAAACAAATTTTAATAAGTCTTGAATCCATTTACCTTATAAAAGGTGAAAATATTACAGAAAATAATTGTTAACCATAATTCCCAGTCTGAGGCAGTCTCTAACAGATTATCAGTCCCTCAGAGGTCATTTATTGTTTCTTAATTTTGGGAGTGACATTGTTGCTTGTCTATCTGTGCACATGTTTCACTCACCTCCATCAAGCCATCTGTGTCAGTACCTCATCTTCTCCCCTCTTCTATACCCACTTCCTTCCCCCCCACCATTCCCTTTGGTAAATATTATATTCTTTCCCAGAGTTCAATATTTATTTCTACTGTATTTTGCCTGTGTATTTTTTGGTTATCTTCACAAATGAATGAAACCATCTCATCTCAGTCTTTCACTTTTTGACTTCAGCTAACATTTTCACCTCAAGATCCATCCATTTTGACCCAAATGCCACTATTTCATCTTTTTTTTTCAAAGCTGAGTGTATATTCCACTATTTCTATATCCATTCATTTGTTGAAAAGCACTTATGCTTGTTGGTTATCAGTTTGGGACACATTTTTGCTGGTCCTTCTTATATACTGTACATTTTGAAATGTGTGTGTGTGTGTGTGTGTGTGTGTGTGTGCCCAAAGAGGGCAACCAAATAGGCACCAGCTATTAAACTTAAGAAACCCAAGAACCTTGTACACAAATATGCAGCTTGTACACATGGGCAGCTTTGTTCACTGCACTGGTCAAGTTTTGAAATAGACTAGATGTATTACAAATACCATTATTGTAGGATATGTTGTATGAACAATTCTTAGGAATGTGGGTTTAATTCAAACTGAAAAATTAAATTATTTTCTCTATTTCTTGCTTCTCTAGACCATAGTTAGTATTAGGAATGAACTGTGGAGGACTCGTAAATCCATTACCGCTCTCCATAAGGAAAGAAGGTAGGAACACCCACCTCTGACAGCAGAGACAAGTCAGTAACATTTGTCTTTGCTTTTATAGGACTGTCCTCTACAAAGATTTCACCATGATCTTTTATTTAATTTGGAAGATATTACTTAAAGTGAAATCCTATACCCCAAGTAAAAGCTTTGCCTCTGTTGGAGTAGTTACTGCTAAAGAGTCACTTTCTCCAACAGCACCAACTTCCTACTAGACTTGTTAGGTTGGCTGAAAACTGACTACCATCTTCTTGCTGTGTCATTCTTTGAGATCCTGTCTCCTGTTGTCATTCCTTTAGGAGACAGAACTCCTAGGTCATCACTAAGAATTTGCCTCAAAGGGAGGCTTCTGCTTTCAGGCACAAAGCTTGAGTATCTAGTAGATACTCAACAAAACTAATGTAATGTAATGTAAATTATATATTAGCATATATACACACATGTATGTAACTGTAGGAAAGACAAGGGCCATTTTATAAAGATTCTGTGACTCATGAAAAGGAACTTAATGACACTTTTAAAGTAATTTAACAATCTAAATATTAAAAGTAACTTTAATCTATGTCATGGTATAAGAAAGTAGAAACAAAGTTAAGGAAAGCCATTAAGTAATAAAAAGGCCATTTGAAAATTTTAATTATAAAAAGGAAAACTAATTTTGAAACTTAATCCTTGAAAAGTTCTTAAAATAATTCTCTCAAACCAATTATTTAAAACTTATTCCCTTTACATAATTTTTCTAAAATTCTAGTCATTGGGTTGACCTGTTCCTCTTCCACCCCAATCAGATCTGTCTTCTTTGCAGGCTCCTTAAAAAACAGTTAAACCGATACAAAGACAAGTTGCAAGCCATATATGCCTCCCAGGAAGAAAGAAGCTACAGACTTGAAACTAAGATTCATGAACTCACAACCAACCAAGATAGTCTGTGGAATAAACTACAGCAGATGGGACAGGACCTTCAGGTATGAATGGGGGAGGCATTGGGTTCTGGGGCTCTGACCTTGAATGTGCTGGCTAAGGGAGGCCTGGAGAGTAGCTTCCCTTAGGCCAACCACTTCCTTCCATCTCTTCTCGGTACCCTGAAGGCCCCCTCTTTCATCCACCACCCTGTCTCCTGCAGACACGTGCCATTTGGAAAAAATGGATGTGATGCAGTTTCTTTACAGTGTTGATTCTCAAACCATTTGGTCTCAGCATCCCTTTGGCATTCCTAACATTTTTTTTTTGAAGTTCCCAAAGAGTTTTTGTGGGCCTTCCTATCAGTTCTACATAACCAAAATTAAAGCTTGAAAGTGGTTTTCAAACATTCTGCCTTTGGAAATGGGTAGCACAGACCCAGGTAGCAGTCCAAGTTATGTCCTCCTGGAGTCTTACTTTAAGGGAAAATAAGGTGAGGGGAGATCAGGTAGAATCTGGCATTGGTTATAGAAACATTTCTTACTGTTCATTGGTTCTTAGTCAAAATGACCTTGGTGTCTATGGTGAGAAGAAAGAAAAATTATCCAGAGTTATTAGAAAAAGCCACGTGTGACTGGGAACTGATTCTTTCCAGTCAGTAAATAGTTTTCTTTTATTAAAAATTCAATAAGGTGAAATCTGACACAAGATGGAATCAGTTCAAAATTCTAAGTTTTGTTTAAAAGCTCAGTTGTTACAGTCATATCAGAGTTGTTATCAATTATTTCCCTCATAATAACAACTTCACTTTCATTTTTGAGAAAATGTTTGCTGGGTACCCAAGTCAAAGGAATATAGTCTGTCATTTTTGTTTGTTTTTGCATAGAAGAACTGGAGTATAGGCCAGAGGTGTGGTGTGGTGAGGAGCAGGGTGAGAGGATTAATCAGAGACATAGTGGGGGGGCAGAACAGGCAGATTGAGAAGTACACTGCTGAGGGGAACAGCGGGCGGGCCAGAAGAGGTCTGCTGTGCCATGTGAGTCAGTTCCCTAGCTGGGGATGGAACTCGTGCTGCAGCAGTGAGAGTGCTGAGACCTGACCCCTCAACCCCCAGGGAGGCCCTGTTTGTCATTCTTTCATTCAAGAAGCAACCATTGCATTGCAGTAGGCATCAGAAGTATTTTATGTACACTTCCCATTTAATCACATGTAATATTAAAAAGATCGGTTATTAAGAAAATACTTTTCGCTATACCATCAAAGATGGCAACGGCACATTGATGTGTATAAAGGCATTGCCTTAGCTTCACTTACTCTTGATTTTGCACAATCAGTAGAGAGGTCAACACAATGAACAGGAAAATAATATCTAATCTTCATTAGGAAAATAATATCTAATCTTCATTAGGAAAATAATTTTGACCTTAGGGACTTTTAAAAGGGTTCAGGGATGATGAGTCTGTTGACCACATTTTGAGAATGTTTTCAGAAATTTTTTATGATATTTTTAGAAACTGAACTTTTAGAAATTACAATTTCCCTTCTTTCTTGTGATTATGATCTTTTAGAACCTGAGCTATTCTAAGTTTGTAGACAGTTTTAGACTGACATTGAATTAACAGCATGAATAAAATCAATAATGTATTAGACAAGAGAAGAATGTGCGTCTGCTAACCCTAAGCAGCCTATCCAGCCTCCATTTTGTTACCAACAGTTCTGTATTTGTAAAGCAAGGTAAGAACTGCCTGGTCATAGGAATCCAACCCTATGAGGTGCCTTTCACACCAATTAAGAGCATAAGCAGCCCTCCCTGGAGGCTCAGCGGGTTAGAGCACAGCACTGAGAAGCTAAAGCCACTCAGCATGAGCTCAATCCCTGACCACATGGAGCCGCAGACCTCTGCTGACCCATCCGCTGCTCCCTACAGCAGTGTACTTCCTCAGTCGGCCTGTTCTGCTCCCCACTCTGTATCTGGTGAATCCTCTCACCTCCCCTGAACCTCTGACCTGTACCCCAGGTCTTTATGCATGAATAAATAAATCTAAAAAAAAGAACATAAGCTGGATCACTCTGGAAAGGGTATGTATGCATCACGAGGTATGACCGGAGCTGAGAATGGATGCATACACTTACTCCTGACTTATACATCATGAGGTATGACCAGAAATGCCCAAGGGGTCATTGACTGATGTATAACGAAGGACCCCAGAAGCTGATCAGTAGAATGCCTGATTGATAAGACTGAAATCCTGACTGGGGGGTCAGGGCTTGATCTACATACCAAGCAATCAGCAGATGAGGAATACAGTTTCATCCTTCCCCTGTTTATTTTACTTCCACATCTCCTTTTTATTTTCCCATATGACTAATGCTGTGTGACTAGTTTACCAATAAAAAGGCCAGGATAATGCCCTTAAGCAGTATCCTGCATTATGTAGCCTGCTCCATGACTCCTGTTTCTTTATCAGTGTGGCATTGCTATGGGAGGGAATTCTTATTAAAATTTCCTACTGAATAACAAACTCTAGAAACCTGCTTCTAAAATTAAGAGGAGGGGCCCTCCCTAGTGGAGCAGCGGGTTAAAGCACAGCACTAACAAGCTAAAGCCACTTCCGCACTAAGAAGCTAAAGCCACTTCCGCATGAGTTCGATTCCCGCCTGCCCCGGAGGTGATCCACATGGCGCAGCAGACCTCTCCTGACCCGCCCGCTGCTCCCCTCAGCAGTGGACTTCGTTGATCTGCCTGTTCTGCTCCCCACTTTGTCTCACATGAATCCTCTCACCACCCCTGCACCTCTGGCCTGTACCCCAGTTCTGTATGCATAAATAAATAAATCTTAAAAAAAAATTAAGAGGAGGTGGAGAGTGAAGAAAAAAGTGTGACTGATGTCCAGGGGTTGTCTGATGGACTAGTGTGGAGAATTGTGGATTTGAGTGGTGGGTGTGTTGTGGTAACATATGTGTGAGAAAGTGTGACCCTTCTCCTCTGAATCACATCAGGGTTGTAAACCAATTACTAGCTCAAAAGGGAAGCAAGCAAGGAAGGAGTATTGAAATGCAATGCATATATGAAAAAGTAAGATAAATGTTAATTTGTTTATAAATTAAGTTTTCTTTGCATAGGCAATGTTACAGCCATTCCATCCTTCATCGTCTTCCTGTCTAAATATGATTTCCAAGAGTGACCATGGAAAAAGTAAAAACTTTTGTAGAGAAGGGGATTCTTCTCAGATCAAGAATACCACTGAAAATGGCTCAAAGTTGGAACCTCTTTCAAATCACAACGTGATTGACAAAAGTCACCCAAATCAAGCAAAGGCAGAACTTGCTCTACCAAAGTCAGAATCACCAGAGACCTTTTTACAACTAAGGTCAAGGCAGAACACAGGAGCTCAAAGCCCAACACAGAAGCCCTGGAAGACAAACTTAATCTCCCTACCCAACTCCAAGGAAGTCCTGCCACAGGACACCTCCGGAATTGCTCCTGCTGAAATGAGTAGCCCTCAAATAATGCCTGCAGAAAGAAAAGAAGCAATTCACACCCACCAGGAAGAGAATGAGCTGAAGGAAGAGGAACTAAAGGAACTGTTGTCTAAACTTATGGACGCCTTCACTCTCGAAATGCCATCAGGTAAGACTTTCACAACTAATAGAAATAATGACAGCCGTGGATTCAGACTGCCTTTTAAAAATTCTTGACTTTATAACATTTTCCAGGAGCCACAACTCATCTAGTGAACAACAGAGTTGTGAGTCTTTTGGACATCAGTAGTGTCCCTGAACTTTATTTCTAGTTGTTGTGCCAGCTGGCACAAGCAGGTTCACTATGGATTCAGGCAGGTGAATTAAAGAGAGTCCGGGAGCCCTCCGTGGATTTTTCTGGCTTTAATGCTCTCTCGGAGCCAGGTACACAGACACAGCAGGCAGGGAGGCAGGCGTGCAGACAGGAAGGCTTGGGCCAGGCCAGGGGTGCTGGGAGGCAGGCAGGCAACTGAGCCCCCCCCAACCCCTCCCCTCCATGAATCCTTACAGTTTTCTCTAGCCTTTTTGGCATTCTGTAGTGGTCTCACCTCTTCTGTAGGGCTCCTCCTCTTCTGGCCGGCCTCCCATAGTGGTCTTCTGTCGCTGAGCAATGGCGCCCTTGTATCCCTGCCCTCTAGGCTCAGCTGCAAACCATTACGCATGCGTGGACACAAGTGCTCCGGTGTCCACATCAGGCATGCGCGCCCCAGCCCATGCTCCCAAGCCCCTTCTGCATCAACATGATCAAGCAACAGAGGCTAGTGGTGCAAAAAACCTGATTACCCCACTCTACTATTCCCTAGCTCATAAGGCTATTGTAAGCAGTGAACATGATAAACCATATAAGATTTCTTCCGTTGAATTTATGAAAGCTGTTGGTTTCTAAATGTTGTACACATCGGCCATCACCAATGCAAAAGGCTATGTTACACATTTTAGATTGCTCCTAGGTGTGGTTTACTGCCTGTATTTGGAAGACGATATCCCAAGACTGCATTGTCACTTCACTTATTGAACAGACAAGCTCAAATATCTGGGAACCCTAGGGTATATACTAAAATCTTAATGAGCCTCTCTCTTAATCTCTCTCTTATATCTCCTTGTATATCTGAGGATCTATATCCATATCTACTTCCATAACTATTTATCTGAAGGACTCTCCTGTGTTTTATTTCAGGTCCTCAATCTTCAGTAAACACAGAGTTGTATTGTGGAGCTGACAGGGTATGCAGGGCCTTCTCTGCCCTTGTTGATCAAATCACCTTCTCCAACTTGAAGTGAAAAGGAGTCCAGGTTGAAAGTACCCACTTGGTGATAAAATATATTTTCAAAGTCTTTACTAAGGGCCCTCCCTGGTGGCACAGTGTGTTAAAGCCCAGCACCTGAAGCTAGCCACAACCACTTCAGCATGACTTCAATCCCCAGCCAAAGAGCTGACCCTCATGGCACAGCAGACCTCTCCTGACCCACCCACTGCTCCCCTCAGCAGTGGACTTTAGTCAGTCAGCCTGTTCTGCTCCCCACTCCGTCTCTGGTGAAGCCTCTCACCACCCCTGCAACTCTGGCCTGCACCCCAGTTCTGTATGCATAAATAACTAAAATATATCTTACAAAAACCTTTACTAAAATAATTAAGCCTTTACCTCTCTGATTAGTCCTGTGTGAAGTGTTACTTGTTTCCCCCACCGCCTCTGTGACTCCTTGTTCCTTTCTCTCCTTATTAATCTCAGAGTCCTTAGAAAGTTTATTGATGTCCACCAGCATTTGAAAGTGCTGGTACATCAATTTTACATTGTCAAATTGTCTGTTATGTGAATATCCAGTATTTGTTTTTATCAAAATGACAAGCTTTGCTGACAATAATTTCTCAAATTTCTTCCATTTTGTTAAAGATGGCTGCATTTCACTCTCCTGCAGCAGTCTAGTCCTCAGGAGGCATAACTGTGCCACATCTTGACCCACTGGTGCACGGGAGAAGGTTTAGGCTGCATCCATCTCCTAGTTTTTGTAAATAATGCGGGTATGAACATTGTGGAATAGATGGAGTTTTAATTTTTTATGATAAATTCAGATGGCTTGCCATAACAGGCCTACCAGTCCACACTCCTACCGACTGTGTAATAAGGTTCCTTTTTCTCTGCATCCTCTCCAGAACTTATCCTTGGGCGGTCTTTTTAATATGTACCACTCATGTGGTATTTGGTATTTCATTGTAGTTTTAATCTGCATCTTTCTTATTAAAATCAATGATGAATTCTTTTTTTTTAATTTTTTAAAAGATTTATTTATTTATGCATACAGAACTGGGGTACAGGCCAGAGGTGCAGGGGCAGTGAGAGGCTTCACCAGAGACAGAGTGGGGAGCAGAACAGGCAGATATGAAATACACTGCTGAGGGGAGCAGTGGGTGGGTCCGGAGAGGTCAGCGGAGCCACGTGGTCACCTCCAGGTCAGCGGGGATCGAACTCATGTGGAAGTGGTTTTCAATTCTTAGTGCTGCGCTTTAACACGCTGCGCCACCAGGAAGGCCCAATGAATTCCTTTTTCATAAGTCTTTGGCCTTCTAGCTAACCTCTTTGGTGAACTGCCCCCTCATACCTGTAACCCAGATGTTAATTAGGGTTATCGGTTTTTTATTGTTGAATGACATATGATTGTTTTATGTATCATGGGTGTTAATCACTTATCACTTAAATTTTGTGTAAATATTTCCTCCTATTCAGTACTGTGCCTGTTTAATCATCTTGTATTTTATTTTGCTCTATAGGAGCTTTTTAACTTGAAGTAACCCCAAATGTTTCTTTTCATTTTTAATTCCCTGTAATAGGGAATTAAGTTGAGTCATCAAAACTAGCTTTGCCGTTGATATCATAGAATGCATTTCCAATGTTTTCTTCTATTTTTATTATTTGTTACTGGTTTTATGCCTAAATCTTTAACATATTTGAAATATATTTTTGTATATAGTGTTATTGGTGGCTTCCAGTTTTGCCAGCATTCGCAACTGTCTTTCCCCCCTATTTTATAGTCATAAAATGATAGATGTTTTATCATAGTCAGTGCTGGATATCTATAAATTTATAATCATTGGTTAAAATAATGAAAGTGATTTGATGGAATCATTAGAGATTAAAAATAGCATTATGGCTGGAAAACAAGTAAATTTGCTATGAACTTCAATTCTATTAATCTCATTTAGGTCTGGTCATTTTGAGGAGAAAACATTTTATGGGCTCTTTTCTTATAATGCCATTCATTTTAATTTCATTTTGCTTTTCAGTGCAAACTGTAACCAATTATATAGTTTTAATATTTAATCAAATAGAAAAATATGCTAACTGGAAAAAATATTTTAGATTTTGGATCATCATTAATGTTAATATTAAATACTGAAATAAAGAAACTCCAAAACATTATTTGTGGTCCAGAGCTTTTATGAAATTTGTTTCCATTAGAAGAATGTTTTCTCCACCATTTTTTTGACTGTTTATTTTTTGCTTCATGCAGGATTCCAAATTTTCCTTTTAAACAAGGTTCAACTGTCACTGACGGACAGTCACTCATAACTAACAACTATAGTCCCTGATATGTCTCTGCATAAGCGATCCAGGGTTAATGTCTGAAAATCATGCAGTGTGTTCAGTATTAACAATATCAAGCATCCCAAAGTAAATGATCACAATGAATACAAAGGATCCCCTAGTCATCTTGAGAAGCTATTTTTAACTCTCTCAGTCAGTGGGGTGATGGGCAGTAATGTCATCATTTCAAGGAGCATGCTAGTAGTCAAAAGGAGTGAAACTAAGTGTGCTCAGAGAATATGCTTTAATAGTTGGATATTCCATCATTTCAGTAATGACCAGTAGTCATGAAATATATATCTTTAACTCCAAATGTGAGTTAGTAATGAGGTCAGATTTATTTTCTCTTTATTTCCAGGCCAACAGTCACCTTTCCAATGTGCTTAACCCCATTCCTGTGCAAGTACATGCTTATCAAATCTTCAATCAATACTTTCTTCTTCAGGAAAGGGATTCTTAATTGCTGAGGATAAACACCTGAAAGTAGAGAAAAGGAACTATTCATTAGGTCACCAAGTTATCTGCAGGTTAGTTAAGTATCAATGCACTAATTTCAATGGGGAAGTTTTCAGAGGCCACTGAAGTGCCACTCCTAGAGGATCAGATGAGGTCTCCCATGCGATGCCATGTTACCCAACCATGAGGACAGAAGTTTTACCATTTGCAGCAAAATAAAAGCACTTGAGGGGCTTATGCAAAGTGAAGTTAGTCAGAAAGACAGAGACAAGGGCTGGATGATTTCACATGTATATGTAATGAAAGGTGATAAACCGATAAAACAAAATAAAAAAACATTAGTGGCCATTGATAACCAAAGGGAGCTCACTAGAGGTTAAGGGGTGGGGGTGGGGGAAGTGGTTAAATGGGGTATAAAGGTGTTTTTGTTTCTTTAAAAAATAAAAAAACAATGCCTTTGACATTTTCTGAACTATGCACTATCTGTCTGAAAGAACTGGGAGAGCAAGTAGTTCAGATATTTGAGAACAAAAGGGTGGTGAGGAATGGATTAAAAAAATATCTAATATCAAAATTCTTTATGAATTCATTGCAGGGGTGTATATGTAATTTGTGTTTATGCAAATTTTGTGGCCTATGTAGTTTAAATAATATAAATAATAACAAATGCCTTGTTAATACACATTTTTATATTTTTCTGATTTAAAATGTATGAATGGTAACCATGCAATTTATAAATATGTATATATAAACTTTAAACCACCCATTTTGTAATCTTTCAAATAGCCATATTTTAGGCACATAATTTATAGCATAATTAAATTATTATTCTATTAGGAGATAGATTATGTCCAGATTTTCTGTTACCATAAATAATATCACAGTGAGGTTTCTTGTCTTCCATCATTATGTGTATCTCTAAATGTTTCCTTAGAATAGATTCTATAGGTAATTTCTGACTAAGTTGCTGAGGAAATTTCTTGGAGAAAGTAAGGTAGAAAATAAAGCATTTGTGAATCTAATTTCTGTTTCTGATGCATTGCTTTCTCTTACATTTAGTATTTTAAAAATAATAGTAGACACCAACTGCAAACATCATCAAATTATAAATCCTTTTTATACAGAAGAAAGCAAATACAGTTTTTCTAGGGCAATTTCTAGGTTCAAAGAGGATGACTTTTGTTTCTCTTCAATGACAAAGCAAAGCTTGTTGAAAAAAGAAGCGATGCATTTTGACACAAACAAAGATACATCAATTCAACATTCCCTCATTCCCATGAAACTTTTACTAACCCATGACTTAGCTTCAAGATCATTATTTTCTTTGGGGGAGTAATCTACTCTTTCCATTTCTCTATCTCTGTCTCTCTCTCCTTAGACATAATCTAAGTCAGTGCATAAACCTGTGTCCACCCTCTTTATCACTTCTGAACATTTCAATATGTAGCTATTCATAGCTTTCAAGACTATGTATACAATAATATTTTATGTCTTTTTTTTCACATTATGATATCTATGACCCTCAAATTTTTTTGGAATTCCATTTTCTAGACCTCATCTGTTCCTGTTTATCATTGTTACAAGCAACCAGTGTCCTGGTTATATCCGAAACAGACAGAGAACATCAGAACAGAGAACAGACATAGAACATCAGAACAGAGAACCTGAAGCGATTCTGTGGGTCATCTAGTTGTTTTCATACCCCTTTTCTTCAGATAAGAAACTGAGTGCTAAACAAATTAATTTGCCCAAGGTTACAGAACAATTTGATAGCACTTGTTTTCATATTTGCCTACCCAATATCAACAAATACAATAAAAATGACTTACAGCAACATTTCTCTATTGTATTTGCCTATTTAAATTTGAAGATATCAAATTAGTGACAAAGATATCAAAATTAGTGACAAAGATGTCAAATTAGTGACATTTTGCATATTATATATGTAACCTGGTGGTCCCTAGGAAAAGGGGAAGTTCCAGGTTCCCTGCCCCACCCAGAAGGAGGGTAGAACTGAGGAGAGAAAAAGAGAGAGGCGAAGGAATCTGAAGTAGGAAGCAGGATGGAGAGCCAGAAGGAGACCTGAGGAAGCCACATGGAACAGCAGGTATGTGATGAAGAAATCATGCTTGTTTCCTGACCCTGGACTGGCTAAGGCAGATGTGGGTGAGAGACCTGTAGGGAGGTGACAATGGCAGTGTTTATATTTATTTTGATTTTGCTCTTTTCCTCCCAGACATGTCTGGCCATTTCTGACCCTTTTCCAGGGGTCCCGGCCAGGTGTTTTAGTCTTATGGTGGGCTTTTGGGCCTTACTTTGGGCCAATCCCTTTTGGGTGGACTTTTGCCCACGAAGGGGATGGGTAACTTCAGGTGTTTGATTTAGAAATTATATTCTTTGTGTTCCATATTGTATATTCACTGTATTAAAGTCCTTTTTCATTAAAGTTTTTTTTTATTAAGATTTATTTATTTGTGCATACAGAACTGGGGTACAGGCCAGAGGCTCAGGGGAGGTGAGAGGCTTCACCAGAGACAGAGTGGGGAGCAGAACAGGCAGATCGACGAAGTACACTGCTGAGGGGAGCAGCGGGCGGGTCAGGAGAGGTCTGCCACACCATGTGGATCTCCTCCGGGGCAGGCGGGGATCAAACTCATGCGGAAGCGGCTTTAGATTCTCAGTGCTGTGCTTTAACCCGCTGCGCCACCAGGGAGGGCCTTTTTCATTAAAGTTTTATACGTTTTGTCTTGATGCGGTAGATGGCAGAACCTATATGGATCAGGCAGGTTTGGGGGTTCAGGGGTACCCCTCTCTCCCTGCCCTGTAACAGATAGACTCTTCTAGTTTTTCCCTTATGCCCCGATGATATGATTTCTGTGAGAGCCATAGAGACAGGTTCCTCTTCACCCTTACCACCATCCTAACATGACTGTATATTAATTATTACATAATCTAAATGGAAAGTCTTATTTCCTGATCTGCAAACACTTTTATAAAGTGAAATGTACTCTCCTGCTACTTGCATAACAACTACAGATAGTTTGTAGATCAGATAAGTCAGTAGCTTCTCTCCAGTAAGATGAAGAAAGTGGCTTCCAATACTGATGGTAAATCTACTACCTTTTTTATAAGGTAGAAATTCCAAGTCACATTATGGCCAAAAAACTACATTTAGCCTCAGACTATTCTGATAGTCTTGTTGAAAGCAATCAAGCTTTAAGATTATTTAGTTTTAAAAAAAAGTGTATGTGTATATATACATACATTAATATATATGTAATTTATGTTTAATATATATAACATATACTTAATAAACTATTTTCATGTACATGGAAATGAACATTTTCATGAACACAATATTTCATGTACATTTTCATGAACACAATATTCCTTTAAATTATTTTGTAGAGTTTTGAATAATTCAAAGTGAGTACAAAAACAAAACAAAACAGGAAGCATTGTTAGGGATTTGAATACAACAGCTAAATATAAGAACAGAAGGAGCTTTATACCCCGCTTTCAATAGCATTTATTGATGCTCATATCTGGGTAGTGTCTCCTTAAAATATTTTAAAAATATTGCGAAACAATATTAGAAGGCAGTCATTTTCTAGTTCTACGTAGAAGCTATGATGCTGAGAAAATATTGCCTCTTCAAAGGGAAATTGGTTTAAATTACAAGAACACTTGACAAAATAGGTTTATCTATAAATAAAATTAATTAACTATAATTAATTATAAAATAATTCAAATTAATTATCTATAAATAAAATGAATTTAGATGAGTAAATCAAGAATTTTTAGCGACTGAGGTCAAAACTAAATATAAAATGGCTCCACCTTGGGAAAGGGTTGGGCTTAGTGTTACTGTTAACTGCTATTATAACAGAAATATTGCAAGAAAACAAATCCAAAAATTACTTATGTCTCAGTTTTCCATAAATAATTCTAAGAATTACTACCACCCAAATAGCCTCCGTTGTACTACTGGAAGCTCATTGGTTGAAACAACACCAGAAAGGACAACAGAAACATGAATAAGCCAGAGGTGTCTCAGCTTACTCACAGAGGCTCATTCAACCTTATTCTAATTCTCTAAAGGATATTTCATCTAGTTTCCCCAGAGAAGACTGTCTTTGGATAAAAAATTTCATTTCTGTGAGATCTTTCCATTTCCTGAAATTAATCACTTAACTGTTTGGAAGTTAATTACTTGTTTGAAATTTGCCCAAAAGTAACAATAGGTTAGTATGTCTCCAGCAGTCAATTTTCATTCCCTTTACTTGATCAAATAAGTAGGACTTCCCCCTTGCCACCAGTTACAAGAAGGCATTTTTAAAAACAAACAAACAAAAGCAAAAGCCATGTGGAGCTGAAGAGTTTATGCTCAGTGAAATAAGCCAGAAAGAAAAAGAAAAATATCGAATGGTCTCACTTGTAGGAGGAATGTACAGAAAACAAAGAAGGAATCAGAAAAAAAAAGTAACTATAATAAAGTAAAATCAAAATCACCAGGAAATTATAGATCAAAGACATGCTGTAGGAGAGGAGATGCACCAGGACAGGAGAGGGAGGAGCACACGGGACCACGGGATGGTGCACAGGTGAAGCGGTGTGGGAATTTCACGGGGAAACCACACATTGTGCAAAAATGAAAGATGATATAATGAATATATTTTTTAAAAAGAGCAGAATGAATACCAAGATTGAAAAAAAAAAACCCACGTGTTGTGAAAATCCCCAAGATTTATACTCAAATCTTCCCAATTGCACAGCAAGAAAACAAGATTATAACTGCCAATGGTGAAATGGTTAATTGGGGGGCACCCCTGTATGTTGTATTTTGGGAATATATCTTTTCTTATTTATCTTTCTGACTCTTCCTTGCTGATGCTCTTATGGAATATGAGGATAAGGACACATTGTTAACCTGAACAGTTACTATGAAATGCAAAAGGAAATACTATCTGGTTTCCTGTTTTTATGTGCTCTTGTTGCTCACCCCTGAGAGGAATATAACTGCCACTGAAGTCCCCTCTAAAGCCCTTGTCTTCCTCCTCACAATTCAGCACGTCCATACTCGTTTGGCAATTTTAAAGATGTGGACCTGGGGTTGGCCAGCTTGTTTTCTCCTGGTGTGTTGTGGATGCACTGTTAAGATCTTTCCTTCCTCTCCAGCAAGTTGCCTCCTCCCTAAGCCATGGTTCCTGGAAAGGATGCAGTCCACATAGATGGCCCAGAAGAGTTGGGCCAGGTCCGAAAACAGTGCCTCATGCTTCAAGTTCTCAGATGACTTCAGGTAGATCATGAAATCCCAGAAACTTGAAACGGTATTAGAAATTCAAGGCTTCCTCATTTCCAGGAGAAGCACTGAAGAAGATTCCTAGCACTGAGGATCAGCTTGGTTAAGAGCCTGCAGATGTGTCTAGCTGTGACAGAAGAAAGGAAACACACAGCACATCCCCACAATGAACAGGGGACAGGTGAAGCTTAAGGTCTGGTAGATCCTGCCTCTGTTCCCAAGATTGGCCATGACCCCAAAACTGTACAGGACAGAAAAGCCTCATGTGAGTGCCTGCTTGTGCACTACTCCATAAAGAAAATTACTGTGCTCTCTAAACCTTGGCATCAGCAAAGGAAACACCATACTCTAAAGTAGGAAAAGCCTTACCATACCTCTCACATCACAAGCTCCATGCTAGTAAAAGTGACTTACTTATAGGTCAACTAATATAAAACCAAGATACTTAGATTAAGAAATATTTATTCCTAAAATGTGTTCCTTTGCAAAAATGAATAAGTGAACTTGTTTCTCCCTAGTACAGAGGAATATAGCTCAAAAAAGTATTAAGTGGAAATTTAAAAGATTGCTGTATGGTTTTAATTGCTTTACAATATCTTAATTAAGCCTAACCCCAGTTATCCTAATCCAGGACTCCATTGCAATTAGGAATTCTTATGTATTTTGTCCTTGACTTTTTTCCAAATCATATGGACTTTAAATTTTTCAAGAGGCATAAACACATAGTAATGTACTAAAAGTTTGGGGACCATAGGCTTATACCTAGTAGGCCTTTAGAGTAGAATCAATAGATATTTTGCAAACACCTAAAGTGTTTTTCCAGTTCTGGTATTATTTTCAAAACCATGCTTTCTCATTTCTTTTCTTTTTCTACAAATATCAATAATTTTAAGAAAAATTATTTACCTCTTATTCATATTTTTTGACTCTGAAAGAATATTGCAATAAAATCAAGGCATCCACAATAAATTAATTTTGTTATGTTTTTAACTAGTGCAATGAGAAAAGATATCCTTAAAATAATAACCCAAAATTTATTTTTCCAGGAAAAAAATATTTGATTCCTCACAGACTGTGCAAAATTTTATATCATATTCAAACAATGCTAACACAGAAAAAAATGGGTCATGTACAATTCACTTCCAGTTTTATCTTTTTTTTTTTAGATTTATTTTATTCATACAGACCTGGGGTACAGGCCAGAGATGCGGAGGGTGAGAAGATTCACCAGGGACAGAGTGGGGAGCAGAACAGGCAGATCAACGAAGTACACTGCTGAGGGGAGCAGCGGGCCAGTCAGGAGAGGTCTGCCGCACCATGTGGATCTCCTCTGGGGCAGGCGGGGATTGAACTCATGTGGAAGTGGAAAAGATAAAACTGGAAGTGGCTTAAGCCTCTTAGTGCAGGGCTTTATGGCTTTATCCCGCTGCTCCACCAGGGAGGGCCAGTTTTATCTTTTCCAAACGTTTTAGGTAATAGTGGCATGAAGAAAAGCAAGCCAAGTGTCTATATAGTAATAGTTCATGATAATACCATGAGAAGGAATTTTTATTTCTGTAGTGCAATACTGAAGCAACTTTCAATCAGTATTTCAGAAACTGCCTTTGAACATACATGTTGAGGCATGTGAGATATAAGGTTATTAAAAAATGTTTCTTCTAAATTGCAGATCATTATACTTGATTGCCACCTGAACAAAACTGTGTTGAAAATGCTCTCTTTTGAACTAAGGTATCAAACTCTAGGGACCCCAAAGATTGCTTTACCTTAGGGGACAAGTAAGTCTACCTTTATTAGAAGACCTGGGGCCGGGCGCTGTCCACTGTGCTGAAGTTAGTGAGATCTGGGCTTGCAGCCCGCTCCGCCAGGGCGTTCTTTTGTTCCCTTCTCCTGGGAGTCTTCCGCAAGCTTGGAAGTTCCTGAACCTTAGTGTGCTCTATGCAGCCCGCTACTAGTTCCGCTATGTGCTATACTCCTCCTGGACCAGATCGTGGTTCCCGGCCTCACCTCCCCCTTCTCTGACGGAGCTGTCAAAATCCCCACAAAGTCCTTTATATCCAATGAGCCTCTTTACCCAGCTGCTCCATCCCCAGGATTAGCAAGCAGCCCCTTGGCACTTACCTGCTCAGCCCTTTCTGAATTTCCTTGAGTATGTGAAAAGGAATTGTTCAGTTGACTCTTAAGCAAGTGACAGTCCCCGCTCCCTCCAGCGTCCTGAAGGCTATGGTGCCTGTTCTTAAGCAGTGGGAGTGTTCAGCACCTCTTCCAGTCTTGCATCTAAGCGTCAGGAAATTGCCACCACCTCTTGCTCTAAGTCCATCTTTCTCACCCTTCTCTCCCTCCTACTGAAGATTTCACTTCAGGAAACATGGACCCTGACTCCCACTCACTCAATTGAGCCTTTGTAAGATTTGGCTTCCAAGTGCTAGTTGGGTAATTATGACCCTCTGGGCAGGAACAAAAAGTTGGGATCCATCTCCGTGCAGGTCTAGGAGAAAGGGCACACCACTCTCCAAGTGTACATCCTTTGAGAATAAAGTCACATGAGGGAATATCCGCGACCTTAGGGTCGGAGGAGGAAGATGGTTGCCCTCTCAGCAGTCAGTGTGGGTTCTGAGGTAATAAGGTGACTTCCTGAGACATCCTAGGTGAATTGCCTCTGCCTCCCTGTTTGAAGGCAGAAAAAACACTGCGAGCAAGGTCATGGACAGGAATTTTCGCTGCTGAAACCTGTCTTGGGACAGAAGATTGCTTTATCTCTAGGCTCCTTGGTTTGGGTCACCTCAGGAATTAGTTACTAGGGCATCACTTGAGCCAGTTCACCTCTCCTGAATTCACAGCCTAGTCCCTGCCTTCCTAGAAGAGAGACACCTGAATTCCCATTGATTATAGACTCACAACTACTCAATATCTCAGACCAGAAAAAAGTCCTGTCTCCCCACCAGCCTCTGATAAGCATTAGCTCCTATTTTAATGGAAACTCACACAGCCCACATGCCTGAGGCAAAAGTACTACAATTTTGCAAAATGTTTCCAGGTTTTACCCCTCACCTCAAAACCCTGTACACATCCTGAAAACCACTTATATTCTCCATTACTAAAAGCTTTTATGTCAGCTCAATTGTATCCATGGTTACCTTCTGTAGTGGCAAAGGGGGAAAGCCAGTCTGATAATAGCATTTACCAAAAACACTGAGAACTTGCTCCCTGTCCAAGAGATAAGAGATAAGATATCTCTGGAGTGACTTACTGAGGGGCTCTGGACTTTTCTTCCTGTTCTGAAAGTAGGCAGTGCACTTCAGTTGCTCAACCTCAGTGCCACAGAACCCGGCATACTAGTATCTCTTCCTTGTTACCCCCCTAACAACATGGAGAAAGGTCATAGGTGAACCACTCAGTGTCTTGAAAGGGTCTTTAGAGAAAAAAACATTTTAGCAGTGTGTGAGTAAAGGGAGAGAGATTGGCAGGGGAGAAACTGGACAAGGGGAAAAGAGTGGGAGAGAGCAGAAAATGAATCTTATTGGAGGTGGCTGGTAAACTTGAAGAAAAACATGAAGGTGGTGGGGGCAAGGTGGAGGAAGTGGTTTCTTACAGTCAAAGAGAAAAGTCGGCATAAGCAAGATATGAAGCAGTATTCAAAGCAGTTTCATTTTGGGGGCAAAGTCAAGGAAAAGACTGAGAGAGAAAGAAGAAGAGAGAGACATGTGGGGATTTAATTCTGGTTTTGGACTTAATCGTTACATTACCTTTGGAAACCTTGCTACAGAAAAATGCAGTGCTCCTTTATTTTTGAGTGTTTGTGTCAAGCAATATTCTAGCTGCTGTGTCTACAGAAGGAACAAAAGAAACAAAACAAAACCCCTATACTCATAGTTTACCTTCCAGTGGGGGAGAGGTTGGGGAGAGGGAGGAAATTTATCTTTTAATTTTAAAATTATATAGATGCATATTTCCAGTTACTTGAAGTGGAAGTTTACAGGTATGTATAAAAAACAAACATAGAACTAGGTAATTAAATAAACTAGTGCCAGGAGGCACTGGATTCCTGCTTGTGCTACTGTGGCGGGGTGGGGAGGAGGGCAAGGAAAAGGGGAGGTTCGAGGTTCCTGCCTCACCCAGAAGGAAGGTGGACCTGAGGAAAGGAAGAGAAGAATCTGGAGAGGAGACTGAAGAGGAAGGAAGCAGGATGGAGCCAGGAGGAGACTTGAGGAGCCACATGGAGCAGAGACATGTGAAGAAGCAGCTCTTGTTTCTTGGCCCTGGACTGGGTGAAACAGATGTGGGTGAGAGACCCAGGGAGAGGTTGACTATGGTAGTGTTGATCTTGATTTTTCTCTTTTCCTCCTAGACTTGCCTGGTCATTTCTGACCCTTTTCTATGGGACCCGGCCAAAAGGTGCTTAGGCTTATGGAGGGTTTTCAGGCCTTGCTTTGGGCCAATCCCTTTTGGGTTGACTTTTACCCACAAAGGGATGGGTGACTTTGGGTGTTTGATTTAGAAACTATATTCTCTGTCTATTCTGTATTACACACTAATTGTAGTAAAGTTCCTTTCCATTAAAGGTCATATATGTTTTGTCTTGTCTTGGTACAGTGGATGGCAGAACCTATTTAGAGCAGACAGGTTCGGGGGTTCAGGGGTACCTCTCTCCCTTCCCTGTAACAGATTTTGCACCCAACATGGTAGGAACTGGGGCACTCATGGTCAATCAGCGCCATGGGGAAGTTGGCTTTCCCATGGCACTGGCTACCATAAGTGCAAATGTGGTTTTTGTTTCTCTAGTTTTTTTTTTTTAAGATTTATTTGTACATACAGAACTGGGGTATAGGCCATAGGCTCAGGGGCGGCGAGAGGCTCCACCAGAGACAGAGTGGGGAGCAGAACAGGCAGATCTACGAAGTACACTGCTGAGGGGAGCAGCGGGCGGGTCAGGAGAGGTCTGCCACGCCATGTGGTCACCTCTGGAGCAGACGGGAATCAAACTCATGCAGAAGTGGCTTTAGCTTCTCAGTGCAGTGCTTTAACCCGCTGCGCCACCAGGGAGGGCCTCTCTAGTTTTTTTTGTTTTTGTTTTGTTTTTTTCAGGTGTAGATTTACTACTGAAAAACTTGCTTGGGTTTGTTACTCACTCGCTCAAAGGTAAAGTTAAGTGTGGCTCCTAGCCACCTCAATGATAGAAGGTAGTGCCTCCTAGACTCCACCCCTGGGTTCCATTCTACTTGGTAGTAGAA